TTTTTTTCTCATTTTATATATAAAAAAAAAATGGATTACCCTAAAATCGGGAATTTCAAATTAGGCAAAATACTATCACATATATTTTTTCAGAATTGCAACAGATTAATTGTTTATTAAAAAAATCGAATTTCATAGAAATCGGGTTGATTTAGGTAAAATTCGGCACGACAATTTTGAAAATGTCAAAATTCTCGCATTTTTTTATATAAAAAAAATATTTACCATAAAATTGAAAATTTTGAATTAGGCAAAATACTACAACATGTATTTTTACCTAATTGCAACAAATCATGTTTATTAAAAAAAAATCTAATTCCATAGAAATCAGGCCCAATTTCAAAATGACAATTAAAATTTAAAGATCTCTTATCATTTGGCTACAGGCTACTACTTTCTTTAGTTTGTATTTTTTTAAACATAAAACACAGTCAGATGATATTATTTTGAAATTAAAAATGAAATCGAATTGGAACATCCTAAAAAATTGTGTTTTGTTTAATTCTCTATAATACAAACTTGCAATGGATTGCATACATTTACACAATTTTTCTCTTCCTTAAATAAGTAATTTACAATTTTAAAATGATAAAGCTATAGATTATCCAGAAAGACTGTTTTACAATCTCCGTTATATTTGGCTATGCATTCTTCATAAAACTGGTATAAATCATATATATATCCTGCTAAATAATTTAATTGATTTATTTAAGTCTATCTAGAATCCTAATAAAATTTGTGAGCGATAAACGATGTACTAAAAGACCAAACAAATAATGTTGGGTACAATGATGTGTTTTATAATATGTAAATTACATTTTGTTTTATTACATACATCGTTTTACGTTCTTCCAATCATCCAAATCTAAGTGCCTACATTAATAAAATTAGGCCGTGCATCGCACGGGTACTGCACTAGTTCAATATAAATATTTAGATAAATACTACATATTAAATGCTACCAATCACATACCCTTTTCGTGGAATCCAAAATCTCTATTTCAATTTCTACCATATCAGCCGCTGCAGACTGAGAGTGCTTGCCACACACATGAATCTTATTGAGATCTGATTTATATAGTTTTGAAACGTATAATTCCTACGGAGTGCGCTTATCGATGGTATGAACTAAAAAATGCGGAAGCAATAAACCGAAGATTTTAAAACTCTTCAGGGAAGCGTCCCACTTCCCCTCAGAGCTCTTTCATTGATAGATCAAACATACACATAGCTTGGACTTACAACGACTCGAACTCCCTTCAAGCCTAGCCAACACTACACAGATCCTATCAACTAATTCTTCGGCCACGTCCCGTGGACTTTTAAAAACCTACACTTACTCCCTAAGTGTATAAGCT